GCTCTACGTTGGCCAAGCTGGGAGAAGCAGCCGGCACAGCAACAACTTCAAGTGAAGACGGACCGTGAACGCGGGCTCAGCTTGATCAGTGTGGTGCTTCATCCCCGTACGCCTATCCCAAGGGAGCATTCGAGACCGACCTACATATCAAAAGGCCCAGCCTACCTGGTTCAGGAACTCTTCTTAATGGAGAGGTGATTACTCCATCGTTTTGAGAAGCATGCAGCTCGAAATCCCATAGGCGAGATCGGGCGCCAGGACTACCTGTAGCCACTCGAGCCAGGAACCGGTCTGCTGGGTCTGCGGACTTCCACCCAGCTCGCTAGAAGAACCACCGCATGGAATTATCTTTCAAGATTTATCACGCATCACAGCATCGCATCATCACATCATCGCCGCTACGAGCGGGGTGAACAGTTGCCACGAGCGATCCTCTCAAAAACTGCTGTTGGGATACTCTATGGATACGTGAAGTGAGCAACCGACCATCCGAGAACGTAATGTATGGGTAAATTCGATGACAAGCTCCCGAGCTTAACCTTGTTGTGTCTTTCTGAGCTTTCAAGTCTGCTCGTATAGACTCCACGCCTCTCTCCATCTCGCACATCGAAGCACGTGAACCAACCATCAACCGAGTATCCGGATATGGGACTATTGAGTTTTCAGAGAACAAGACGAAAACCCTCGTAGATTCGCCGTATATGCAAGGTCAATGACAATGGCATCCCCGCTATCTGGGTGGTGACATTCGTTGAACTAGCTGTACGAACATCTGTATCGGTGGTCGGTCTCCGTGAGCTGGGGATTTCACTGTTGCCTATCCGTAATGATGTCCAAAAAGAGTCTTTGTAGCGTGAAAATCCTCACTTGACAATCCTTCGCCCGACAACGATAGCCGCTAGCTCCTCGCCAATTCTCTTCCATCGAGAATGGCAGGTGCCTGGCGATGAAAAGTCCACGACGGGGGTGCGGCGGCGTCGGTGACTGATGGCTGACATGGGACGAAGGCGACCCGCTTGAGCGGCACAGAACGGTGCCGGGCCACGAAATTGAAGACTCTAATCTGAACGGGCGGATGCCCGGATACGTCGGCGGCCCTTAGAGAAGATCCAACCGTCCCCCCGCCTCCCAAAGGTCCCTACAGTCCCGAAAGATTGGCAGCCTAACTCCGTAGAGAGACAACACTAAACCAACTGCTCTAGTGCCGTTTGGCCACCGGATTGATGCATTGGCATTGAGGCAGTGCTGGACCACCCCTCCCCGAGTCCCCAGTTCCAGCCGAGCCAAGCTCAGCCAGTCAGACTCGATGAGATGAGATTTTGGGGGTGTTGAAGCCTTGGAAGGATTTGTTGGACGCTGGGCGAATCCATGACCCTGATACGAACGGTTGTCTAAACCAACGCCGGTGCTTGGTGAGGTTGGGACACTCTATCGCCCGTATACCACTGGCGGCGCCCTGGCTACTGGACGAGAGCTGTCACTAATGAACCCTAGAGCCTGGGGCGCCTCGGGTACGTCTTGGCAACCTGGCTTGTCAAAATTCAAAAAAAGGGTTTGCTGATGGTTGTCACCGTTCAATTTCCTAACCGGCGTCTTTGGGGCGGTTCTTACTTCCGACTCACTGGTCGCCAGCATCGTTCCTGTAGCAGTGATATCCCTTGCTCTGTGTACTCAGGTCGAACTATGTTTTCTACGCTGACCAGTATGAACCCCGGCATCTCATGTAGGAAAGCAGAAAAACTTCAGCTACGACCTGCTAAGGCGGCAGAATGCAGTTGTCCGCTTAGTGCTGGAAACTAGCATCGAAAAAGGATGGGTGATGCCTTGCGAGAGACAAATGAATGGGCCGATGTGAAGAAGTCACGCACCTTGCCTGCCAGTATCAGGCCACCCAGTAGACGACGAAAAACATAAACCTCAGCCAAAGAAGTTTAGTTCCCCTGTTGGATTCGTGACCAACACCAACACCAAGTTCCAACAAGACAGACGGGCGTTGGTGCGCCATCCGCCCAACCAAATCTGGTGTGTGTGCGTGAGAGAGAGAAGACAGAAGAATGGCGCACAGGCCTTGACACTCCCTAGCTACGCAGTGTGGCAGGCTTCCTCGGCTGCTTGGCTTGGGTCTTTTTTCCTTCTTCCCACCGGGATCCCGAGGGTGTGCTTAAGCTTAATTCGATACTCAAATGTCAGCCACCACGCCATATCGGGCCTTCATTCGTTCGCCCCACACCCAATGATTTTTCTGTTGCTTTTTTCTCTCTTTGGCTCTCGTTATCCCCTGCTTGGTTCCGAAAGCGAATGCTGCTTCCGCGGTGGAGAGAGAGAGAGAAAAGGCCCTGTCTGCTGCCCTGGCATGCCTGGGTTTTTGAACAATAACCCACGGCGTAATAAGGATTCAGGGGGCGGTTTGTCAAATCATACATCATCAAAAACCATGTGGGATTGAAGAGCGGTTGTTTTATTTTGCTGACGCGGCCACCACCTCCCCTCGGAGCAAACCTTTTTAGTCTCTGAGCAGGGAGCAATGCAAAAAGGAGGATGGAAGATACGGATAAAATACACACTAAATCGTCGACGGCGGGGAACTATCGATAGCGCCATCCTGGATTCCCTCGTGGCATTGGGAATGGAATGCGCGCCGACAATATCGGTTCCGCTTGTTCCTCTTCGTATGGGATATTCCCGCGTCCCATCCATCCAATGTCTATCACCACATCCGACTACGAATACAGTCAGCGTCTGTTTTCTTTGATAGCCCCTCACACCTTTCGGATTGTGGGGAGTCGACGGGTGATGCTCAGCTGCCAGGTTGCAGCAGCGGGCACATTCTCAGCTAACTTGACTACGGAGTAGAGTGACAAGTGTCAAGAACGGGAGACACGCCGTTCTCGACTGCCGCGTGCCCAAAAAAAAAAAAAAAATGTCCCTCATCCCCACGTTGGACGGCCGCCGTGTTGTGTTGAAAATGCTTGGCTACGGATGGCAGTCTGCCAGTCAAGGTCTTGGTTATCGATGTCCCCCACTTCAAGCGAAGCTTTTGCTGATCCTCCTGTCCCTTTTTGGGTGCTGAGTGGGTGTCACTCTCTTTCGGTTTTCGGACATGGCCTCGAAGCCATGTCTCTAGAGTCCTGAGGAGCTGTAGCATCCATCTCCCTGCTTTGGTGGTGATGGGAGAGGTAGGCGGGCACGCAGGTCAGCGTCCCTTTTACTCGGGCAGTTCATCGGGAACCATCTCCGGCCAGGGGCTCGGTGATATGTGCCCTGCCTGCTCCGTGCCCAATCTAGGAGATCGAAACCGAGGTGGATGCCAAACGTTCGCGTCGTTGTCTTTGATAAACAGCTCGTGCCAAGCATCACCCAAGATGCTTGGCAGAGTTGGCGTGCGCATATCATAACAGGAAGGGCGTCCATCCATCTCGCTCTCGAGAAAAGGTAAAGGGGCTAATCACATAACTTCCAGCAGTGCTGAAAGGAAGACGTCGTAGCCGTTCAAGGCCCCAAGAGAGGCTCGTGGGCTTGGCATCATTAGGATATCGCGATCTTCGATGGTCTTTGCTCACGATCTGTCTTGCTTTCTGAGGGGCTTCAAGACCCCAGAACACTGCCACACAATCTCCATCCAGTGTCTCGCCGATTATAGGAACGTAATTTGCCTGCGCCGAGGGCGCATTCCATGGTGAATAATCAATCAAACTTTGCTATCCGATGGACGGAATATTCCTTGCTGGCGCATATTCGTGGGGTTGACCTTTTTATAGGCTGGTTCATTGTTAGGTCGAGGACCTCACGGAGTACTCGTTGCATAAACCATCACAATCATCGGATCTATGAGCGCCATGGCGCAAAGCCTCGGCGGCCACGGCAACAAAGTCTCGTACTCGTGGTCGATTTGAAGATTTAACCAGTCTATTCTAATCCAACCCGAATAAAGAACCAAACCTCACAGCCCAAGCTCCTCTGTAAACACACAATACTTACGTGATGTTGCCGATCATCACCACGTCTGATATTATTTGAAGTAGCCGCCTAGCATCCTAATAGTAGGGAAAGAGAAGCGGCGTCCATTTCTGTAGTCGCATCCGCGATCAACGGAGCCGGTGAGCCGTATAAAGGGCACATCAGGTGCGGCACTGATGACATCTTGAATGATTCCTAAAACGCTGGAGCCGAACTAATCTTCAACGTCAATAGTAAAGAGGTGATCCTGCAGAGAATCATGCTCGACGAGAGCAATAACTTTGCATGCTTGGAAGGGCTAGACACCGCTTCTCCTAGAAGGCACTTGCGGCAACAATGCAAGGAGTAACTCAACCAGTAACTGATATGTCTAGATATATCGGGTATTGTAGTGTACACGGTGTTGATACAGAGTCCAGAGCCGTGTCATGTGACACAGGACGCAAGATCATGGTGAAATTACGAAATATTTAAACATGTGTTCCGTGAGACTGAGGGTAGGTGGTCGAAGGTAGGGAAGGCTCTGGTCATGGCTAACCCAAATGCCTCCGTGACTCTCAACTCTGACATCGGCTTGCCTAGGCCCTTCCGTTATTTTGATGAGTGACTTGAGATCGCCGTCAAAATCGACTTGCACGACCCTGTCAGGTAGGTGGTCTGATTCGCGTTGCGTACCAAGTGAGACCGAGCCACTGGATGCTTGGTCCCTTCCGTCGTACAACGTCGCGTGATTATCCCATGTCTATCGAATCCTGTCAACTGCAAGCCACAGGTGTACAGAGCTTTGAGCTTTGCAATCAGGTCTCGGGCGTCGCGCTTGGCAGCTCAAGGACATGGCGCACACGCACAAGGCGACTCAAGGTCGACCATGTCTATGCTCAGTCAGGTTGCACGAACGTCGCGCATCGCCGTGCAACTTCTGTCGTGCTGGTTTCATCAAGCCCGGCTTCCAGAATCCCAGGTAGGCAAAGCTTAACGAGGGACCGCATCGTGAATTGGTATGACTTGGGCCCCGGTTCATCGTGAACTGTCCACTGACCAACTTAGCAGTCGCAGCGGCCAAACCAGCGTGGAAAGGCCACAACGTCCCTCACATTAGGAACTCCCACAAGATAACTCAGCAATCTATCGAAGCCCAGGCCAAACCCGCCGTGTGGATTGGATCCCCAACGACGGAGGTCAACATACCACTCAAGATCGCTATCGCGTCCGCCATCAGCGGGAGAGCCCATGCCGCGAGCCTTCATGGTCTCCAACAAGTCCATCAAGCGATGCTCACGCATCGAGCCGCCAGCAATCTCGCACAAATCGGGGACCAGAAGATCAAAGCAGTCGACTGTGTCACCCGGTAGATCATGGCCGGAAGTTGCGGTATCTGATTTCCTCATGTAGAATGCTTTGATCGCCTGAGGGTAGTGGGTAACGAAGACGGGAGAATAGGCAGAGGAGTCGCTGGTTGCACCAAGAGTCTTGGCGAGGAACTTTTCATGCTCAGAATGCAGGCCGCCTTCCCATGTAGGCTTGATCTCGAACTGATGCTCTTCTGTCTGGAGCAATTTGATTGCGTCGGCGTACGTGATGCGTGGCCATCTGGAAGCTGGGTTCTGCATCATGCCCTTCCAACGACGCTCCACTTCGTCAATTGGGACAAGGTCATCTTCTGCTGTTCGTTTCTCCCCAGGTGCTCGTCGTTGGCGCAGTTCTTGCGCAGCTCGAGTCTGATATAAGCCAGTGGCCAAACTGCGGAGCATGTCTTCTACGAGGTTAGTGACTTCGTCCAGCTCATCGACGAAGCTCATCTCCGCCTCCAGCATGTAGAACTCGCTCATGTGTCTCGAGGTGTCGCTCCGCTCAGCTCGAAAGGTTGGCGATAATGTCCATACGTGCCCCAGGGACTGGGCTAACGCCTCAAGATGAAGCTGAGTAGACACCGTCAGGTACTTGGGTGAGCGAAAGAACATGTTTGCTGGCTTGTCCTTTCCGGTATTTGAGATTGCGGGTGTCTCGGCCGAGCCCGTAGCAACGTTGAAGACCTCGCCTGCCCCTTCGCAATCTGAAGATGTAATGATGGGCGGATGAGTTTGGGTGAAGTCTCGAGAGGCGAAGAACCGAGTCAACAAAGCGACGGCTTCTGATCTCAATCGTAAGATTGCGGCATTCAGTGGTATCCTGGTTCGGAGATGGGGCATGGTGCGAAGGTACTCAGGCGTTTGGTACTTCTTCTGGATCGGGAACGTCTGTTTTCAACGACGGCATTAGCGATAGTGTAGAGAAAAGAAGAGGGACAGTGGGCCTACCTTTGCGTCAGAGGGGCCTAGGATCTCGACATGATCGACCCTCAACTCGTGACTTTGACCGTCTGTTTTGGAGGGAGTCCAGACACCTCGTAGACGGACTGCAGCACCAACTCGCAGGTTTGCGCTGGGAAATTGTCAGCAATCAGAGCTTCCGAGACAGTGGCCGAGCTTGGAGATCTAAGAGGAACCTACCTTTCGTCGTCGCTCCTCGACACCAATGCCTGGATGGGTGACCGCGAAGAACCATCGCCAATATTGACGAATCGATCCGTCTTCATGTTGCGAACAGATCGAACATATCCACTGACGACAACATCCTTGACTTCGGTTTCGGGCTTCCACTCTAGGAATTGGGCTACTGTCTTCCGCGGTGCTGTAGAGAGGTTTCGTCTGTGGATGGGTTGGACAAGGAGCATCGATGGGCGCGCGAGCTTGCGCAAAGGGAATGTTGCCGCGATTCGCATGATGGAGACAACTTGGGACCAGTCTGACTACCGCGTCATGTTGTGGAAATCGAAAAATCTGTCCTTCGTGATCTGCTAAGCAGAGGTAAATGGTATAGTTAGACGGCGGAGGGGGTTGCGACTACAAGGAAAGGAACGATGTCTTTTGCGACGACATGCGACCGATGACTGAGGTCGGAGCTTGAGAAAAAGTCTACGAATGGGAAGCTTCAATTCGTAGAAGTGGGGCTCTGTGATGCGCGTAAGTAGATATACATGACATCGAGGCCAAAGTAGGTGGGCAGAAGAGTAGCTGGACTTCACATAGCTCTCGGGGCTGGCTGGTCCTCCCAGATAAGATAAGATAAAGTAGCCTCATCGCTATCGCTGGAAATTCCCCGACACGGTACGTACCGCCGAGTTGTCTCCTCGACGGCCAAGACAGCCACACAGCTCCTCCCGTCTGCATCCCTCCACACCACAAACATCTCCTCTCGAATCGGATGACATCCCCAGCACTCGTCGCCTCCCCTATACTCTAGACTTTCTCTCTACGCTTTGAAGAAGACTTATAATTGCCAAATCGTCCACCTTGCACCATGACTGATTCATGTCCCGGTCCGGCTTGTGGTCGCAGGAACCCGGGCCTCGAGTCCTTGTCTGGCTGATCGAGTCCAATTATTGACAAAATCCAACATCATCAGCTCCGCCCTCGACTCCCGAGACACCAAACACCGGACACGGGTGACGACTTCGGAACAATGCAGTCGTTGGCTAGCAACCCCATGACATGGATCTGGAATTCGATCGAGTACAGTCCTTTCTTCTTGGTCCCAAACTTCGCCTCCCTTCAGATCGAGGCCGCAAACCCGAGTGGGAACTTATCTGCAAGTCATAGAAAGCATGGATCTGCATCCTCAGCGGGCAAACAGACACCCAACGTAGCTTCGTCACATCCCATCGATATTTTGCCTCACTTACAAGATGAGCTCACCTCTCTTCATTGCACCCAACCCTTGGACAGGCAGCCCTGCCTAGTGGGGGTCCAAGAACCATGAAGCTGGGTTTTTTGCTTCTTCCATGCCAGCTTATTGCTTATTAGCCCGCGGTCTAAGCAAGGCACGGCACGAGCAGCTGGGACTCGCAACTATTCTCCCTCGCCATCTTTCCCTACTTTAGCTCCCGCCCCGCCCAAACTGTCTTCAGACCCTAGGCACGGATACCTCTCCTTAGCTAACAAGATATGTACGGACCCTGACTTCTACCCCCGGTTGCACTGCTTGTCCTCATCGCCCTGTCCCGGCTTGCAAGAACGTCTCAAGTGAGATCTTGGGAAACAGGAAGATCTCGTATAACTGCGGCAGATTGCAGTAGTATCTCGATCGGATCCCACCTACCAAGACCACGGGAAGACTGACGTGACACGACCCGGGTTTCTGTATAAGCAAGACATATCTCATCACAACCACGGCAAGCCCACCCACCCTTTACGCGCCCTTCCTATACACTACCCTGGAATGTCGCAGACTTGACTGAGATCCGGCAAGTATTGGTTACACTCTCCTCATACACCCTTCACCGCTCTCGCTTCCTGGCGAGGCGAAGCAATTCATTCCTCTGCAAAGGGGCCCAAGATACCTCACCATGCTATTGTTTCTTTTCTTCCTTTCCGCGCTGCTGGTCTACAAGCCGCAGCTAGAGTTGCCTCCCGAGCGGCTCTTCATTGAGAGGGACGTATTTAAAGCCACGAGGGTACCCCATGGTTGATGCTCCCCTGATCTCCCATTCCCAAGTCATACCCATCGCATTACGTCTCATCAAGGATCAATTCTACACAGCAACTTGACTTGCCTCACCCGCCCCAAGCGTTTCCTTGGCCTGCCCTCGCGAGCTCACAATGCCTTCCTCGAAGCCTTTGAAGATCAAGCCCTCCGAGGTTGCGGCGGACACCAAAAAGAAACTGATCCCAGAAGTCAACAGGTACTTCCGCGAGGAGTGGCCGCCCTACTCGGTTCTCTACTCTCAACCGCTGCTCCAGCTTCCACTCAGCCGCCCGGCCTTCATGAGCTCAGACTTACCCAATTTCTGTAAGAGTCACCCATAGCCGTCATCAACTATGCTTCAGAGCCACAGCTAACCACAGCAGATGTTGTGCATAGCGATCCCGTAGACTGCGCACTGGGCTGGGCTCAAAGTGAAGGAGTCCGGATCCCATTCATCTGCGCCGCGAACGAGAAGCGACCCGGAGGTGATTGGGAGACAGGTGTTGTCGGTTACGAGGTATGTCGTCGATGGTGCGCTCTGTATGACACGACTCTGACTCGACGCGTTGTGTAGGAGAGATTATGCCGTCGCAGCAATCTGTCAGCAACATTGGGCTCTCCCCATCCGGATACATGCATGCCAACCAACTACCCGATTCCGATCGAAGGAGCCATCTATTCTCCCGATGTTGGTAGGCACATGCACATGAACTAGCATCTTGATTATTTTTTGACTAATGAGGTGCGCAGTTCGTTTCCGCCAATTCCAAGACAGGATCGAGTCATTGGACATGAAGGATTGGAGGTCGCTGCCGGTCATTTCCATGCCGCCGGCGCGCTGGCCGAAGCTCACAGACATGGGACGAAAGTACTCCTTTTCGGAAGAGCGAGAACTGGTACGAAACAAGATGCGCGCCGCCTTGAGAATCTGCGTGTTTAACGGCTACAACCACGTTGTGATCGGCGACTTTGGCCTCGGTAATGGCTACCGCAACCCGCCCAAAGAGCTTGCGGAGCTGTGGCGCGAAGTCTTTCTCTACGACCCAGAATTGAGGGGGCAGTTTCTTGCCGTCATGTTCGCTTTCGAAGACGACAGGCAGTGCACAGCTAAGTTTATTCTCGACGACATTGCCAAGAAGACGAAAGGGAGCAGCAGCAGCAGCTCTTCGAAAAGCAAGTCCAAGAGCTCGTCATCATCAAGTTCTAGCGGCAGTTCATCTAGTCACAAGAGCGACTTCAAAATCTTCAGCGAAATCTTCGCAACGAGCGAGATAGCCAGAGTCCGGAGTCAACCTGACCCACGCTACGCCTTCTCTGCAATTATGGATGGCTCTTGACCGATTTGCTCTTGGCGCATCCTCGACCGGGTTCATGTCTCACCCATGGGTACTCGATATGAGCCGGTGAGACCTGGCCGTACGTCAGGCTGGCTGAGGCGGCATACCCTGGGCAGAGTCTTGTCTCGCCGTACGACCTGTCATGTCAACACATGGCTACAAGAAAGGTGTTTGTGTCTCGCAACACACGCTATCCAGCACTACTAATGAGTGATTCCCTGTCCGAGTGCGCTAATTGGTCCACAATGACCGGGCAGGGGGCTCTATTTTTTGCATTATTCGACCGGGTTTTCAGTTCAGCGGCCCACGCTGGTTGCTTTTTGTGCCCTTGCACGTCGGGCTGAAGCTGCTTGCGATCTCGAGGGTCCCCGGATCTACAACGTCGGGCGTCAATTGCCCTTTCGGGTCAGTGGGCTCGGCGGTTTTCAATAGTGGTCTTCGAACTTGTATTCCTATTTCCTTTTCTTCCCACCTCGACTTTTCGCGGGAATTTGTTTGCTATCGCTGGTGCACATCATCATACGGTTGACTTCGGGCTGGCGGCGTTGAGATTGGTAGGGCAAGCTGGCTAGATCCGATGTAATTGGGACCTGGAAGCTTTTGCAGGTGTTTGGCGTTTTCTCCAGGGTCAAATCACAAATCCCCTCGTATTCCATACGCGGAAGCAATTTTCAAGCATGATTGAATCTCCCTCTTTCCTTTGCGCAACGCGGTTCCCTCCAAAGAAGTAGGGACGTATGGACGTAGGGATAGGCAAGGTGCGCGCAATCTTTGTAGTCCAGTAGCCTTTGATGCATCAAAAGAGCATAGCCTTGCTGCAGCCGCCTCGTCTTTACCCTGGCAACGTGACCCTCCGCGAAGGGCCTGGCATTTAATGCCAACGACAGCCTTGGCCAATGTGCTTGCTCAGCAGAACCCGGAGAACGGTTGATCCCCGCCATACCGAAGAAGGTAGTCGGCCAGACCAAAGGGGAGAAGGGCCTGCAGCAAGACTGGATAGCGATACACTATTTCGACCCAGAATCCCCGCGCTTGGGGAGTTTGAGTTGAATGCTGAGGTTCTCGCTCAAAACGTCTTAGCAAAGAACGGCAAGGTCAGCATCCGCGACCATTGGAATGGGCCAGAGTCTCTGTTTCTGCCCGCCCCTCTGTCGAATTCGTAATCGACTTGTCCATGCCATACTAAAAAGTTTGCCTAGGCACGTGCCGTGGCGCCATTTGACGAGAAAAAGCAAGCATAGAGAAAGGCTCGCCTGTCTTGCCTGTTAACCGGTAGCAAACCTTTGGCTCTCCAACGAACGCTCAAGAATCGGTGTCTCTGAAGGGATGAAAGAGCGGGAGTCTCTGACATTGTCTTCCCAATACCGCGGTTGGTCAGGCTAACGAAGAATGATAGGCCGTCAGAGCTGAACATCCGAGGGTGGAGGGATCTTCGACCGGGATGGTGAGTGCCTATTGGAGGGCTGAGAAGACATCCATGTTTGCTTTTCCAGGAGCTGACATGATCTCAGGCGCAAACAACTCTGCACATGTCCTCGTCATGATGAAAAAAAAGTCTACCTACCGCTACCCCGAAATCCAAATACCTCACCCCTGCCTGCATGCCAGATCTTGACCGGGACATTCGATCGGCTGGAACTTTGGGTATCACTGCGTCGGCTCTCCCCACGACGACCCCCCACTCTCATCCGCACAAGCAATGGGCTCTTTTTTCTCCCCTCTTGAGAGACAATACTGACTCTGGACACCGGTAAGGTGGCCCTTGAGGCCGGGGGGGGGGGGGGGATCCGCGAACACAGCGAGAGGTCTGTCACTTCTCAATTTTCCAAACCATCAGATGGCTGATGCGAGGCATCTTGCCTGTGACACCTAATACGGCCGAAATGCGCAAGACCCGTTACGGCCTTTGCCAATGTGTAGA